ACAACAGTGGAGAAACAAAATCCTCCCCTTTGGTAGAACTTCACAGTACATCTGGGTATCCACTTTGTCTAGACTGAAAGATGACCAGAAATACAAATCCATACTAACTCATAAGTAGTAGTTAATGATTTAGCCAGATGGTCAGAGACTTGGAAAGAATAGAATTGAAAAACTGCCTTAAAAATTTAAAAAAAAAAAGGAGGACTGGAGAATATATGGATGACCTTTTGGGAAAGGTAAAGAATATGAACTATTTGTACCTCATGTAAATATTCACTAAAGAGCACCCACTGCAGAGGAGGATCTGAGTGGTCAGGTGGACAGGATAGCAAATTCTGAGGATGTCAGTCTGCCTTTTTCCCTCCTGGCTACCCCAGTGCTTTCTCCAGGGACTTATACTCAGAGTGTCTGTGGCAGCAATCAAGCAGCCTATGCATAGGCAAATCTTGCTACCGCCATTACTGAGTGCTCAGCCTCCCAGCAGCAAGAGCCAACAATGAGCCCGGGTGGACCAGCTAGCCATCTAATGGGGGTTGATTACAACTGGTCCCCTTCCAGCATGGAGCGGGCAGATTTGTCCTCACTGGAATAAACACATTCTGGATATAGATTTGCCTTTTTCAAGTACAACCATCCACATACTTTGACAATGTGCCATTTACCATCATAGGACCCTACCCCTCACAACATTTCTTCTGACCAAGGCACTAATTTCTCAGCAAAATTAGTGCAGCAACTGGCTTATGACCATGAGATTCTCTGGTCTTGACATCTACTCCATCATCCAGAAGCAGCTGGCCCTGAAGAATGGTGAAATCACCTACTGAAGGCTCAGTTATGTCAAGAGCTGGGAGATAAATTTTGAAAGTTGGTGGCCCGGTCTTACAGGATGCAGTATGTGCTTTGAATCGGTAACCCATAAAGGGCGCTGTTTCTTTCATAACTAGAATACATGGGCCTAGGAACCAAGGGTTAAAGCTAGAGGGCCTGCTTTTATTATTACACCTAATAACTTAATCGCAAAATCTTGCTTCCTGTCCCTGAGATTTGGGACTCCGCTGGCTTAGAGTTATTAGTTCCCAAGGAAAAACATTTCCACTACAGGCACAAAAACGTTTCCACTGTATGTAAATTTGAGACTGCCCCCTGGTCACTTTAGACTCCTCATGTCACTGAACCAATGGACGTAATTACAGTTGTAGAATCTCAGAGCTGGAAAAAACCTTAAAAGTAATCTAGCCCAGGGTCTTACCCAGTGCATGGGTCCCGGCTTTTTCATCTTAAATCCAGTGACCTGTACGTTTTGATCACCTGACCTCTGCTGGACAAATCCCAGCGACTGCCTCAAAAAGGTGAGCCATGTATGAGCAGACACTTCTCACGATTGAAAAAAAAAGTCCTTCCTCTCATTAACCTAAACTGTCGAACTTCTGCCCATTGATTTCAGTCTATTTTCTAGAATAGAACACATTTCCTTTCATCTTCCAAGTTTACATGCTTTGTGCTATTTTAAAAACACATTTTTATCACGTGTTTAGTCTGTCATGAGACAGCAAGGTTTACATGGAGAAAACCCGGAGCACAAATTAAGGCTATCAACTACTGTTCATATTCAACACCCAGCAAGAGTGTACCATGTGGCCAGAGGTCTCCATAGCCAAAGGGAAGGCTGCAGAATTCAGAAACTAATTAAAACAGTGAATCAGTGCTTGTTCCTGAGGCCTGTTGCACATCCAGGCCTTTAAAAATAAATATTCATCCACATGTTCACAAGATTACTGACAGTTTCTCATTAGGTGACTACTTAGCTCTTTAATAAACCAAGATTCTCTCCCAGGTAGTTACAATATTTACCACTATGCAAAGACGAAAACTGTCGCTAATGAAATCTCATTCACAAAAGCCCATCGCTTCAAAATGACTTCTGAAGTCACAGAGGCAGGATGTGACCTTGTTCTTGCAGTGTTTCTAGCAGCACTCGTGGCAACCCCTTCGTCCAAATAACTGCATGATATGTTCTTTATGCCATAAATTTGTACTGTTGCTATAGAAATATAACCAAAAAAATAATAATAACGAAGTTGAAGACAACAGAGTCTGACAGAATGTCTCTCATGGAAGATCAGAGGCTGGGCCAGCCTTGCACGAGAGCTATAGGAGGCCGCTGCCTCTGTCAGGTGTGACATACACCTTCGGCAACTGTCTTCGACATCTTCATCGTCATCGTGGTTAAATGCACTCAAATGCCTCTGATACAGAAGAGGCAATGTCAATTTCAAAGAGAAACATAAAAATAGCAAAGGCCAGGAAGCAATCATTATACAGAATAAATGTAAAAAAATAAACGTATGGAAAAATATCTCTGTAACTTGTAATCAAAGAAATGCCAATCAAAACAACGTGCGATACTACTTTTGTCTCAAACTCAGAACAAGAGGAAACAGACATTTTCAGTACTGCAGGTGGAAGTGTAAATTGGTAAAACTTTTCAGAGGATTAATTTGCCAATATATAACAGAAACCTTTAAAATATTAACATATTTTGGTCCAGAAATTTTATTTCCTGAAATATAGGCTAAAGAAACAATGGAAAAAATGGGCACACAAGAAGTATGTACAAGGGTTTCATAATTTGTAATAATCAAAAATCAGAAACATCCAAATAGGAAGCAATGAATGATAAATAAATCATGGCTTACCCAGAAGATGGAATCCTATGCAACCATCAATAAAAGCAAATATTATAATATATATAGCACTTACCATACAGCAGACTCTATTCTAAGCAATTTGTAAACACATTAACTCATTTAATCTTTACTATAATTCTGTGATGTGGGTACTATTATTGCCCCCCCTTTACAGAGAAAACTAAGGCAAAGAAGTTAAGAAACTTGCCTGAGGCCACCAAACTAGATAGCGCTGAGACAGTGTTCAAACTCAGGCGGTTTGATCTGATTCCTGACTGTGCACTCACACCATTATACAGCAGAATATTTAATGTCATGTTGGAAATCTCAAATATACATGTAAAAATGTTTTAAATGAAATTACCAAATTGGTGCAGTGTGTGTGTAATATAAAATATTATCCATACATATGCCAAAATACCAACAACCATTATTGGAATTATAAGCATTTTTTAACTTTGTTCCATTTGTCTAATTTTTTTTTGCAATTAGCATATACAGTTGGCCTTCTGGATCCATGGGTTGTGTAACTGCAGATTCAACCAGCTGGAGATCCACAGATGTGGAACAGAGAATACAGAGAGTCCACTATATTAGGGACTTGAGCATCCACGGATTTTGGTATCTGCAGGGGTTCTGGAACTAATCTCCCACAGATGCCAAGGACGACTGCATTACATTCATAATTTTAAAAATACAAGAATGCTGTCAGTACCATCACTTAAATATTCCTGACAGGCCCCCTTCAGCCTAGAGCTGGAAGGGACCCAATTTTTAGCATGACTATTTGGGCAAACTGAAGTGCTTCACATCAGTTTACCTCCTTCTTGACCATGAGATGCACTAGTTGCTGTAGTTTTTAAATCTTCATGAAAACTAAATAAAGGATCTGGACCTGAAATGATACCACTTTGTATATAAAACCTCTTATATAAATAAAATCTTTTTAGTTTTTCAATACCTGAAGTTTCAAAGCACTCAAACCCGTATTTCAATAAAGTCTCTTTATTCTCAGCCTTCACCCCTAAGTCATCTGAGTTTCTGAGTGTGCAAATATTTAACTTCAGAAACAAAATTCCGAGTCTGAGTCTGGTGAGGATTGTGCTGCTTCTAATAGGCACTTTCAGGGCCCCTGACTCACTGGGATGTCCCGATGGCCATCACGTTATTGTACTAAACTGACCCTGGAGCTCCTCCATGGTAATTCTCAACTGAACCAACTAGAGGATTTAAATTGCCCTCAGGAAAAGGGCAAGTGAAATTAAGCCAGCACCTTCCCACAAGGCTCTGTCTACACCATGCAGAAAGAAAACGATTGCTTATGGGTCAATGGGACAGAGGCAATAATTATATTCTCTCAAAGAACAATCTTTGCTCGGATGAGAAATGTTTATCACACAGTTCTCTGCATGGGCTCACAGAGTATGTAAGAAGTACGGTAAGCTGCGAGCCTGCAGAGGATGCTGCGTCAGCTTTCGTCAGGGTCACACTTTCTTGGCAATTCTCACCACCTGGCATCTGGTGGCCTTGATTATCCCTATGGCAGCAAAGCCCTTAGAGGCCCTAAGTGGAAGGCTCCAGATTCTGCAGCATTTACCAGAATAAGCACATAAATAAATAGCACATTTGGGTGGCGTATCCACATTCATCAGTAAACCATTGCAGTTTTTTCACATTCATTTTAGCAGTGTTGCTGGGACTTCTCTGGGCCCCAAAGCTGCGATGACTGTAGTGGGCAGAAGTCTAAGGTGTCCCCCCAGACTCCCTCACCCAGGTGTCCACACCTGTGTAACCCCCTCCCCTCGCATGAGGGTGGAACCTGTGAATATGGTGGGATGATGACACCTCAGTCAGGTTACATTATGTGGCTAATGGTGATGGATAGGCACTGCTTCTTAGCCAACTAAAGAGAGATCAGAAGTCAGAGAGATACACTTCTGCCGGCCTGGAAGAAAGCAGATATCTACGGTGCAAACTGCCGATGAGAGCCAATTGGTAAGGACCTGCAGGGACCTCCAGGAGCTGAGAGGGGTCCCAGCCAACTGCTGGCAATGGCAGTCTTACAGCTTCAAGGAAATGAATCCTGTCAACAACCAGTGAGCTGGGAAAACAACCCTGAGCCTCGGATGAGATCACAGCCCCTGCTACCACCTTGATTTCAGCCTGGGGAGACCCTGAGCAGGACCCAGTTAGCCTGCGCTGGACTCCTGACCCACAGGAACTGAGAGACAATAAATCTGTGTGGTTTGAAGCCCAAGATCCTCATTTGTGGTAACCTGTTGCCCAGTAACAGAAAACTAACATGCTGACCGCGCCGGTGACACCGTCAGAACATGTGCCGTGACGCTGTTTCTCACGCTTACTGTCTACAGAAGGAACTCCGGTCTACAGCATTCACCCCTAAGGAACCCAAATGAGAGTGCTAATTGATATCTGTGTAATAGTTTGGAGTTTATTCAACTTTCAAATACAATCTCATTTGAATTCTGCATCATTAATCTGAGCAAATCTGGGCAGTGATGATTAGAAAGGAGGATTCAGGAGCCAAGCTGCCTGGATTCAGCTTCTTCCTTCTGCCACTTACTAGATGAGCTCAAGTCAGTTCCTCGACCTTTCTGTGCCTCACTTTCCTCACCTGTAAAATAGGGATGTGATCATCTCTACCTCCTAGAGGGCTGTGAGAATTAAATGACTATAAATAAAGCCTAGCACCTAGTAAGCACTGGATACGTGTTTGTTTTTGTGATCAGCTGGATCAATAGTAGTATTTAAACACACCAGCTAGCTTTGTTTACTTCCCACTATAAGATGCTGCAAGAATTAAGGCCCAAGGTTTTAACAGGTTCTACAACACTGAACTTGTACGTTATCCTGGAGAAAGGTAATCCACAGACCCCACCCTCTAGCTGTTATCCTAAATAAAGTGCGGAGAACACAGGCAAAAAAGAATGAGCTCTCAGCACCCCCTAGAAAGGACCACAGATCCAGGGGAGAGCAGGAGTGTGATGGCTTCCTTCAATGGCCTTATAAATAAAACTCAAGTTTCAACAGAATTCTGGTTTTGAGAGGAGAACACAGACACAGGAGGGCTTCTGCTGCTATAATTAGACTCATGCAGCCCACATCACGTGCATTCTGGAGCACAGATGGGCTGCCACGCTGTCTAGCTCCAACAGGTGTTCCTTCCAGGTGGACGTAGTAATAGTGAATCCACTAAATGCCATTCGGGGTGGGCAGGGGAGGGTTGGCCCTGCCTCCTTTTGGGCTGCCAGATCCATATATGACAAAGACAATAGTGGTCTTGTCACTGGGACTCTTCATGGTGAGCTGCTGGTGCACTGACCTTCATAACACAGAGACAGGTGCATAAAAGGACACTTTCCAGTTCAGAGAGTGCCCCACCAAGCTGGCCCACCTGTCAGGGTTGCTGTGGACAACGGTGGTGTTTCAGCTCGTGGGCACCGCTGTGGTTATGCTCTGTTAAAGTTTAAGGGTAGCTAAAGGTATATTTTCCCAATTTGATTTTGGTCCCATTGACGTGTCATTGACCAAAGACCTACTTAGTCCTCCCTCATCTGTTTTACTCATTTCTCAGTTTAAGCTTTAAAGAACTCTTGGTGGTGGCACGTAAAATGTAAGCATTTGTGTGTGTCTGTGTGTAATAAATGTCCCTCTTTTGTCTCCAGCCCTTACTGTGCAGCCTTCATGCCACATAGAGAGACAGGCCCAATGTCCCCTTTCTATCTTTTGGGGTCTTTCCCATTACTTCTCTTCCCTCAAAACAAATCAATCGCTGATAAAGGAAGTGGAAAATTACAGTGGAAAGTGCTTTACCTTATCTCCCAATTACTCAAAGGTATATTGGCTTGTTTCAGAGAGTTTCCCTTAATTCACACTGGAAGATATCCTAAAAGATCCAAAAAGAGGTAGTCAAGCTTGAATGCCTACAGGCGTGTGCAGTTAGCAACAGGAACTGTGAGATCTAGGTTGAAAGGAACAAGCCCAGAAGACTTGCCTTTTAAAACTGCAAATCTAATAAAACAGCCAAACAAAAATCTCACCAGTGGGCCATGTATGGCTCGGGGCCACAATTTGTAATGACCCTTGATTTAGAGCGTAGAAGGTTTTTTCAAAAAGCAATCTGATACAAGGAATGTGACCCCCAGGCAAAGGCATGAGGATCTCTGAGAAGGTTGAAGCAACCTGAACTGCTCTCTGAAAACTGCCAAACTAGCTGATTTGTGAGCTCAGAACTCTCCACTTGGCATGGCCTGGAAGTCCAAAGGAAGGCTGCAATGACACACAGTCTAAACACAAAAGGCCACAATCAAGAGGAAATGCCTCAGCTGCTGGCACCCAATTACCTCTGAGATCTTGATCAAAGGAAAATGTTTCCTCTTTCTAATCACAAAATCCAGTCACCTACTATGGTAAGGTGGGTTTCAAGCCATTTAGCAGCAAGCTCCAGTGATCAGGGACCCACCGAGTAGAGGTCTTTTTCCTGGGAGGAATTCCCTGCTAAAATCCCGTAAGAGCAGAGCTCGGTCTGAGCCTAAAAGTACACACATTCCTCAGGGAGTGTGGTCTGTTTACTTCACGTGTAACAGGATGTGCCAAAATGGAGCGTTTTCTGTCAGTTTAGAAATAATAAACCCAAGGCAGAATTTTAAAGTAGGTGTCCAAGAACTAGTTAGAAGAAGCAGACCCCTCACCTACAATAAGCATATCAAGGGCAGAGAGCAGAGCATCTGAGAAAAGATTCTGTGAGGAAGATTTATTTGGAGAGAGCTGTACTTTAATCTCCGAGAAAGGGGTGGGGGGTGTCTTGTTCCCTCTTCGAGCCTGCTGGAGGGCAGTTCAATGGGACCCCTCAAAGAGCTTCACATGTGATGCCTGCAGTATGGACTGTGGCCTGAAAACCCTACAGGGCGAAAGGTAGACTTGAGCGACCAACATGAGCTCATGCACGTGACTGTGTTGGAATGGGACCGGCCTGTATCCCCAGAGCTCATCGGCGAAAAGGATGCCTGCATTTCTCCCATGACGAGATGGAGAGGGGGCCGCTCACAAGAGAGCTGGTGGGAGGTCATGTGAGGTCCTGTCTTGTAGGGTCTCCCACATGCTGGATGAAAGCTGGAAGTGACTCCAGATTCCTCAGGATGAAGAAGAAATAAATGAAGAACCAGGGGAGAGAGAGATTAACTCATCTGCAACAAGAGAGCTGCAGGTGAAAGGGTCCCAATGATTAGGGTAGCAAATGGCGGGGGGCGGGGGGAGGGAGGCGAGGGAGTGGGTAGTCTCTGAAAAATCCATAAAAACATCCAGGAGAAAAAAGCTAGGCTTAAACACCTGCCATCTAACAGCAATGGTATCAAGTCAAAACTTCCCGGTTCCCCTTATCTTTCCACCCCAACACGGAGGACTTGGACAGCCACAGCAATGGGAGGAATAAGGGAACACAAGTGACAGAGCCACCACACCCCTTCTCTGTGTGCAGTAGCAGCATGCCAACCACAAACAAGATGTTGCCACAACAGAGACATCTCCTGAGACTTAGACTTGTTGTCATCAAGGTATTAAAGGTAATACACTCACCTCTCACACAAGGAAGTCACTTTCGTCCTACCTGCTTATTCTTATTTTAATTTTCCATTACATAATTATGGACATTTAACTGGATTTCTCAAATAGTGTGTGGCCCATGTGAGTCCTTTACTCATTTCCGTTTGAGGATAATATTTTGCTGAAGTTAAAGCTTTGGAAACTTCTTTAATGAGAAAGAGTTTAGAGGATTTTGTTTTTTCCCTTTTTTCTGGTTTTGTTTTGTTTTTTTGATGTTCTTCCTGCTGCTTTCTGTAATTATTCCCATAGAGCTGACAGCTCTCTTGTCCTTAATCCAGCAGCAAGTATCTGAATTTTTGATTAAACATTAATAGGCTGTCACAGGTTGAAAATCTGGATGCTGACAAAATGCTATAAAAATAGTTAAAGGTTGAGAACCAGGGAACTGGACAAGGACAAGTCAAAGGAGTTGAGACTCTTAAGAAGTGACCTGAAATCAGAATTAGTGTAAAAGGCAAAATGTTAGGAGGTTAAAAAACAGCTGTTCTCTATTTCTATTATAGACAGAAAAAAGTTGTAAATGAAAAATAAGGCTACCGATGTTGCACTAAATCAGGCTGGAGTTAGAAGGAGGTGTTGGAAGGGGAATGTTCTGTAACTGCTCATGTTCTTTGCTTCCTTGTCCCCACCTGAAAGGCCAAGCCAGAAAGAAGACACCTGGCCGCCCCTCCTGAGCTCTAGGACTCTGGTTGCACCTCCACTGGGAGGAAAATTTCCATCACTGGTTCAAAAAGTCCAGTGTGCCTCAAATGACTGGTGTTAAAATATTACCAGAATCTGAGCATCAACACGAGGAAATATGTTAGAATTTCAACATATTTTCAGTTACTTGCAGCCAGTTATGGCCTTTATTTTAAGCAGGACATGTTATAACAACATATGGAAAATTGCTGCATGAGTTATTTTTAAATAGTTATTTTTTAAGAATTTAAGTCTGATAAAATACTAGAAGAAACAGAGAAGAGGAATTTGAGAAGATAGTTGGAGAGGCTGCAAAGTTATTATTTACAACTTTAAATAATGAATAAACTAACAAAAAAATAGTTACTCCTTGCTAGGGAATTTGAGGACTCATAGAAGTGGGTTCAAAAGAGAGGAACATTTGGGAAACTCCTCCTCCGAGTGGAGGAAAAGGTGTACCTTCCCCAGGCACGGGAAGGAAAGGGCTCCATCCCACGAACAGGGTGAGCTGGGAGAAGAGCTGACAATACCGAATGGATGTTTCTGTAAGTTGGAAAGAACATTCATGGCCACTCAGAAGGGACTCAGAAAGGTGTCCAAAGAGTTGAATGGGGAATATTTGAGAGGGACTCTAATGTGGAGAAACTTTAGTGTCATGATAAGAGCATAGCTCTGGAGCAGGTCTACGGGGGAAGAATTCCAGCAATGTCACTTAGTAGCTGTGTGAGTCTGAGCAAGTTACCGGTCCTCTCAAGCTTTCAGTTTCGACACCTGTAAAACAGGGATGTTAACCAGATCTACTAGGTGGGGTTCTGTGGGAATTCACTGTATTAATACATAAGAAATACTTAGCGCCTGGCACATAGTAGGTGCACTTAAGTGCATGGGTTCAGTACACAACACTACAAGAAAGGATGAAGAAAACAGAGGAGAAATCCAAGGCCCACAAAGGTTAGCAACTCTTTGACATCACACTCAACTCAAATCTCTATTTCTAAACTCAAGGCTTCATATCATAATACACTGTTGCCATGAAACCAAGGAATAATAATTAAAAAGGATTAAAGTCTAGTTTCACCTCCTTTTGCTTCTA